TCCAGAACGAGCGTTTTGTACGAGACTTCCTTCAAAAGTGAGCCGCGCAAGTCTAGAGAGAGAGAGACAGAGAGAGAGAGAGAGAGCGTTTCAAACGAGACTTCTTTCCAAGGGGAGCCGCGGAAATCTCCAGAACGAGCGTATCGTACGAGACTTCCTCTAAAAGTGAGCCGCGGAGCTTTTGGGCAGACTGGGAGCTTCACTTCTTTAGGGTCTCTTTTGGTTTTGCTCCGGGCTTCGCTCTTTTACGGTTTCTCTTGGTTTGCCTTAGGGGCTTTGCTTCTTTAGGATGTTTTTGGGTTGGACTTAGGGCTTCAATGGAGAGGGGCTTAGGCCTTCACTTCTTTAGTTCTTTTGGGTTTTGCTTCAGGCTTCACTCCTTTAGGGTTTCATGTGGTTGGGCTTAGGACTTTGCGTCTTTAGGATGTCTTAGGATCGAATAAGCCTGCACTTCTTTAGGGTCTCTTTTGGTTTTGCTTCGGGCTTCGGCTTTACGGTTTCTTTGGTCTTAGCTTCGGGCTTCACTTCTTCAGGATGTCTTTGGGTTTGACTCAGGGCTTCACTTCTCGAGGATCTGTTTTTGTTTTGCTTAGGGTTTCGATCCTTTAGGTTTTCTTTTGCTTCTTTAGGATGTCTTTGGGTTGGACTTAGGCCTTCACGTGAGGGCTCCTTTATGATGTCTTGGGTTTCACTTAGGGCTTCACTTCTTTAGGGTCTCTGGTTGGTTGGGCTTAGGGCTTTGCTGCTTTAGGATGTCTTTCGTTTTCACTTAGAGCTTCACTTCTTTAGGATGTCTTTGGGTTTGACTCAGGGATTCACTTCTTTAGGGCCTGGTTTGGTTTTGCTTAGGGCTTCCCTCCATTAGGATGTCTTGGGTTTCGCTTAGGGCTTCGCTTCTTTAGGGTTTCTGGCTGGTTTGCCATAGGACTTTGCTGTTTTAGGATGTCTTTGGTTGTGACTTAGAGCTTTACTTCTTGAGGGTCTCTTTTGGCCTGCCTTATCGCTTCACTTCTTTAGGATGTCTTTGGCACAAATTCAACAGCATCTCTTGCTCAACATTTTGTGTTTTGTGCACATGGTCGTGGTAATTACGTGCTTTGGCGAAGCTGGGTTTGGTTTTGCTCAGGGCTTTTCTCTTTTAGGGTTTCGTTTGGTTTGCCTTAGGGGCTTGCTTCTTTAAGATGTTTTTGGGTTGGCATTAGGGCTTCAGTGGAGAGGGGCTTAGGGCTTCACTTCTTTAGTCTTTTTTCTTTTGCTTCAGGCTTCACTCCTTTAGGGTTTCATGTGGTTGGGCTTCCGGCTTTGCGTCTCTAGGATGTCTTTGGGTCGGATAAGCCTTTACTTCTTTGGGGTCTCTTTTGGTTTTGCTTCGGGCCTCGCTCCTTTAGGGTTTCTTTGGTCTTAGCTTAGGGCTTCACTTCTTGAGGATGTCTTTCAGGGCTTCACTTCTTGAGGATCTGCTTTTTTTGCTTAGGGTTTCGATCCTTTAGGTTTTCTTTTGCTTCTTTAGGATGTCTTTGGGTTGGACTCAGGCCTTCACGTGAGGGCTCCTTTGGGATGTCTTGGGTTTCACTTAGGGCTTCACTTCTTCAGGGGGGTTGGTTTGCCTTAGGGCTTTGCTCTTTAGGATGTCTTTCGGTTTCACTGAGGGCTTCAGTTCTTTAGGATGTCTGTGGGTTTGACTCAAGGCTTCACTTCTTTAGGGTTTGGTTTGGTTTTGCTTCGGGTTTCGCTCCTGTAGGGCCACGGTTTCTTTTGGCTTGGCTTAGGGCCTTGCTTCTTTAGGATGTCTGTGGGTTAGACTTAGGCCTTCACCACCACCCCCTCAAAAAAAGAACGCTTCTCAGAAACCACTCCCCAGAAACCACTTCCCAGAAACCAGTCACCAGAAACCAGTCTCCAGAAACCACTTCCCAGAAACCACTTCCCACAAACCACTTCCCAAAAACCACTGCCCAGAAACCACTTCCCAGAAACCAC